GAAGAAAATAGAAACAGAGACAAAGAAAGAGAGAGAGAGAGAGAGAGAGAGAGAGAGAGAGAGAGAAAGCAAATCATCAGGTCTGGGACTCAAACCATGGTCAGCCATGTGGGAGTCCAGTGCCCCGTACCACCATACCACCTGCAGGCCCCTGGAATTGTATTTTAAAAATCTATCAAGAGAGCTTTCTCTTTAAAGTTATTTACATGTAAATGCTTCAATAAAGTAAAAATTCTTTTTATATAAATGACCATTCTCCCTTTGAATTTTATTATATAGAGTTGGCTCGAATTGAAGTGTGTCTTCATTAAAGAGTAAAGTTTTCTAATGCCTCATTTCTTTTCATTGGGAATACAAAAAGCATTTGGGACCTAAGTACATTTTTATAAAGCTCTAAAAGTTTTATGCAAAGTTTTGACAGAATGCCAATCACTGCTCATTGTCATTATCTTCATGCTTTGAGATAGAATATCTGTAATTTTTTAAAAAAATAATTTTTGTTTGTATTCTAATATCCTTAACCAGGCTACCTCTAACAGGGATTGTCTGGTTTGATTAATAGCTTCTCCATTCAGTCAATTATTTAATCTAGATATATCAGTGCTACTTAAAAATCCTCTTTCTTCCCTATAATTTGTATCTAATTTGTAACTAAATCTTCTAAATTGCACATTCATTATGATTTTCAACCTTCCCCTCTTTTTTTTCTGACTGCTACTACCCTAAAAAAAACACAGGACCTTTCTCTTCTATAGCACTAATGCTCTTGTCTGCCAACCCTTCCTTTTGTTCACATTGTTGTCAATACTATCTTCTTTTTTTATTTTAAAGAATTACTTAACTATATTTGTTTATTTATCTATCTACTTATTTATTTATTTACTTATTTTAATTTGACCAGAGAGGGACAGAGTAAGAGAGAGAGAGAGAGAAAGAGAGGGAAAGTGAGAAAGCAAGCCGCCAGGTCTGGGGCTTGGAACATCTTTTCTAGGTCTGGGACTCAGTTGGTCGAGTGGTTGTCTAGCACCCTTAAACACCATGCTATCTGCCAGGCCGATCAATACCATCTTTTAAGACATGCCTCTATTTCTGTGTCTACTTAAATAAATCAATGCATGTCTCTTAATTGTTACAGAAAATTTCTTGGAGTGATTCTCAAGTACCTTGACAAAGATTCTTTTTTTTTTTTTTTTAGGAATTTTTGCTACAGGGCGTGTACATTTACTGGAGACACAGAGAGAGAGAAGAAGTGAGAAATAACTATTGGAGGATTAGTCATGCCACAATTATTTCTCTTCCATTCTCCTCTCAGGATTTGGGCATATATGTATACACGTCCAGAGTGAGTTTCAAACCTCCAGGTCTGGGATTTCAACTGTTGTCAGCTATATGGGACTCCAGCACCACAATTACTATGCCACCTCCTTACCCTGACAATGATTCTTAAGAAGCATGTCACATCACACCCACTGCTCCTAGTCTCCATTCCAAGCTGTCCATCCACATGCCTTTAATTTCTTGGCATTTTTGTCTTTTTCTATTTCTTATATCTTGACTACTTTTCGTTCAGCTGCCTAATGAATTTTTTTTAACACTTGGTTCAAATTTTGTCTTTTTTGTGACACCTTCATTTTCTGCTTTCTGGTGCTTTTAAGTTGTTTTTGTTTTCCCCAAAGTTCTATGAGAATACTTAATGGGTTGAATTTCAAGAAATAATGAATCTGTCTACCCTGTCAAAGCACAAAGACTTCAAGGCAAGATCTTTGCTATTTTAAGTATTGATTATCCATGTTCACTATAAAGTTAAGTAATTAATCAGTAATATTTTACATCTTAAGATCCTCTGAGAAGCGAGGTAATTTTGAACCTTTTCAAAAACAACTTGATTACATTATTTGGCATTTAATTGATATCTCTTAAAGTTAAAGAGTTTTTTAGTTGAAACATAATCTATAGTTTTTCAGACACTTTTTAAACTGCTAATATTCTCCTTACTTAATTTATTGTGCAATTCTATAGTACAACTAATTTTAAAACAGCATATGGCCTTCTAATCTCTTTGACCACATAAGACAAAATGGCAATGGTCTTAATGTCAAATTTGATACAATACAATCTATATATGCATCAAACTTGGGGATACCTGCCAATTTTATTAGTGACACAAATGCAGTTAATAGATTCTTATTTAAGAAAGCATTTAAAGCATTATTTATAAAGAATAACCCTACAGTGAAAGAGCCTAGTAAATTTTTTTATTCTTTTAAACACTATTCTCCAGGGTTGGAAATAATATGGTTAATATAAAAATAGTATATGCATTATTCTATATCTCCAAAAGTTGTTTCAAATTATATGTTTCTAAAGATAAAGGATAAGACAATAAAGACTGTCAGAAAAGTGAAAACAATTATATTTTCCAATTAGAAGATGGAATTGAAAATACTGCCTTTTCTAAAATAAACAAATTTATTTTCAGACTTGATAAACTTAGATTTTTATGAAGCTTTTTGATTAAATTAAAAAATCAATAAACACTGTCATCTTATATATCAGACTTAGAGGCTAATTTGCTTTCCTCAGAACAATATTTTTTTTGTTGAAGAAACTGGAAATATCATTGATAAATCAATATAAAGTATGTCTACAAAGCAAACATTAAAGACATAAAATACTGCATTTATAATATTAAGCCTGTATCCATGGTGGAGTAATTAAATTGAAGATAAAAAAGAAAACACAGAAAATAAAAAAAAAAAAGGGCACTGAGATAACAGAGTCGCATCTTTAAAAATAACGTGTAAGGTTAGAGGAAGAAAAGAGAATGGAAATACATGGACTAGTTTCACTGACCTATTTTTTCATTGACATTTATTATTGAATGAGTCAGTGAGAAAGGTTTTGTATAAAATATAAAGAAATTTTTTACAAATTAATAACTTTTTTGACATTTATTTATTTGCTTATGCATTTATTTGCTGTGATTTTGAAGTTGCCCTGTCTGGGACCCAAACCTCCAGCCATGTGGGAATCCAGCACCAGAACCACCATCCACCTGCTGGCCCTACAAATCGTTAGCTTCAAGCCAGCCGAACAGAGACTTTAAGACTGAATTCCACAAAACAATAACCAAACAGATCAATGGAATGAATTGGTTGGGGGGCATTCAGAAATACTGAAACTATATATGGGTCAAATTGAGGTAATATAATTTATAGATGTTAGTTTTGTTCTTTTATTCCCACTTACATTTTCCCCAAATATAATCTGGAAAAAGGTTTAGATTGTACTTCTATAAGTGCAAAACAGTTTATGTTGTTTATCTTATTAGTATGATCAGATTATTCCATACCATGTGGGATAAAAGCTATTTCATAGCCACTGGTTCATTTCTGTCACTGAGTTATTAACTTGGAAGTCTTTGACTTATATAGACCCCTATTTAAGGAGATCATCCTTGAAGTTTCAAAAATATCAAAGGCGGAACCAGCAGTTAGTGTAATGGCTATGTCGCTGGACTCCCACACAGTCGACTGCAATTCGCGTCCCGGACCTGGTGGCTTAAAACTCACGCCGGGTGCGTGTGCGTGTGTGCCCAAGATCCTGAGAAGAGAACGGAGGAGAAGGGATTGCGGCGTGACCGGCCCCACTGGGGGGGTGATTTCTCACTTTCTGTCTCTATGTCTCTCTCTGTCCATCTGGTAAGCGCACGCACCCTATAGCAAAAAACCTCTCCAAAAAAAAAAAAAAAATCTAACGCATTTGTGGTAAGAGCAGTCATGATGTGGCCCTCGAGAATGATTGTTACAGTCCTGATAAAATGAAAGAATGCAAGCAAACCATCAAATACTAGAAGCTATTTTTTTCTTTCAATAAGACAGTCAGATATAGCAAATATTTCCCAACTAATGATTTGAAATTATGAAAATGATAAGTAAAAGCAGAAAATTAGACAAATGAAAACAGAATTGCTCTAGTACTATAAACTATAAAAGTAAACAAGCTGTATTGGAAAAAGACATACAAACTTACAGTTGTAGTGTAAGCAGCTTCTGGATCGTCTTCTAGTACTCGGGAGAGACCAAAATCCGAAACTTTACATACTAAGTTGCTGTTGACCAATATATTCCGAGCTGCTAAGTCCCGATGAACATAACCCATATCAGAAAGATACTTCATGCCTGATGCAATGCCTCGGAGCATACCGACTAACTGGATGACTGTGAAATGGCCATCATGTTTCTGCAAGAAAATCGCAATGATTAAGTCGATTTACTGTGGTGCAATGTGCGTATGCATGTGTATGTATGTATGCATGTATGTTCTAAATAAGCCCTGGAATTTATTTACTGGATCCAATGAAGATAAGCACCCAGTCTGCTGACTATTGACGGTTTTCATAAAGGAATGTAAGCATCTGTTTGACACTTAAAGGAAAAGGAAAATCTAGCTGGAAGTGAAAAGAAACAAAACAAAGGACACAAGAGAACCGAACAAATTAACTTCCAGAAAAACGTGATTTCTAATAGTATAGGTAATAGGAGGCGAATAAAGTTCATATCAAGTCAGAACAAAGGTTACCAACGATATTGACTCAACTGTCCGTAACTGTAAACTTTGGCCCGGTTGTCCGGGCAGACAGGACAGCAAAGCCCATGGCTGGAGGAGCCTGTGTAGTAACTGCAATACTGTAAAAAAATGGTGGTTAGGCCAGACTGCTCAGGGAAATGAGAGTGGTGGCCTAAACAAGAAGAAAGTTTAAGAAGGCTGCAATGGAAAGAAACACACACACATACACACACACACACACACACACACACACACATACACACATACACCCAAGAAAATAGAAAATAGATTTTTTTCTATTTTTAAAAATTATGTAATCATATAGAAAAGAAGTCACTGGTAATCAACTGAGAATTGTACTATTTTAACTCCTGGTTAGAAGAAGCAAGTTAAATAATGTGAAAACTAAGCCAGGTATATATTATACGTTATATTCAATTACATCTATTTCCTTCTACCTTGATTTAAAAATAATGTAATTTTTAGAATGCTGTCCCCCCTCCCCCAATGTAGTGGTTAAGGGAGGCAGGTGTCAAATGGCCAACCACGCAGTTTGAATTCAGAGTCGATGACATGAAAAACATGCTGGGTATGAGTGTATACTTAAAATCTTGACAGGATGGAAAAACAGAATATGGCATGACCATGTCCCATGGGGATGGGATGTTATGTCTCTCTGTCCTTTGCCCTCACTGTCTTTCTCTGGCAAGGGCAGGAGCCCTCTAGCAAAATAAATAGAATTTAGAGTACCTTAAAATAATGTATGTTTTTTACAGAAAGAGTAAAAAAATTAAATGATTTATGTATGACATATGCACCAAGACTAGATACAATGATACTGTTGAAATGGAAATGAAGATTTTAAGTTTGAAAAATAATGCATATTTTTCTACTTAGTTATTTGGATATTGTTTTCTTTAGTGAAGTTATGGAGCTAAATGAAAAATAAAATCTCAAGTTGCTTTTACACATCAGGCAAAGTTTACTTGTGTAGAAAATTATAAATAAATATCTAGTAAGACCCTATAAAGCTATATTACTTTGTACATACTTGTATTATATAGATACACAAATAAGTGTATCTTAATAACATTAAAGCATTTTTCATGGCTATCTTATTTAAAACTGTAGCATAGCTTATGTAAGGTATAATCTAACAATATGTGTCATAGTGACAAGTTTCTAAGACTATGATAATTTACTGGCCAGCAAATGAATAAGCGTATACTATACATGAAATAAACTTTGTTTAACGGTATTAAGTTATCTCCCTGAGAGTGCTCTGATATCTCCCGACTCAAGTGCAGAGTAAAGAAAAGAGACCTCTCTTAAAAGAAACACTTTTACGGTCAGGGTATCCATTTAAGCAGGCTCTTCTGTATAATTAATGTGGAAGAGATAACCTAGTAGAGAAAATCTCTGGTGTTATTAGCTCTTTATGTTTCCAATCCATCTTCTCAGACAGCACACCATTAGATAAAATCTTCCTCTTTCATCATGTACTATACTACTTCTCCTCTACTGGAAATCTCAAAACCTCAGAGTAGAACGGAAAGAATAAATTCTTTTGGCTTAGAAAGGATTACATTGCATTTGAAAGGTGGCTCTTTCAAAAAATGAAGTTGCCTCACATCACAGTTCTTGTCAAGTGGAGTTTCAAAGTAGTAGGGAATGTTCATGGACCATCTGAAAACTAAAGAGTTCTGCGGTTTCTATACTTGCACAGGGGAAAGGGACATCTGGTCCAGAGTTATAGAGAGAATCACATGTAAAACACACTACAAGGCTCTGGACTTAAACAATACTTAATATTTAATAAATCCCTGGTATTATAATTATGTATCTATAATTTTAATATGAGTGAGGAAATTCTCTTCTTGCTTCCTAAAATATGAATCGTCAACGTAAGTTCTCACATGCATAAAGGGACAGAGTTACTTTTAGAATTTTCATTGCCCCTAAAAGGAACCTTACACTCATGAGCAATTACTCCCCACTTTTCCCCAACTCCCCCACTACTCTAATCAACCGCTCATCGACTTCCTATCTCTATAGATTTGCCTGTTCTGAATAACTTCTTAGAAATGGAATTATACAGTACAGGGTACTTTGTGACCATCTTCTTTTACTTAGCATAACATTTTTAAGGCTCATCTATTGGGTTGTTGAAAAATCATGATGTGCTTTTTTCATGTTTTTCTATGCAAAAAGGCATCATGACTTTTTCTGATGACCCAATATATTGCAGCATGTATTGGTATTTTATATCTCATTGCTTAATAATTTTTTAGTTCTTGTGTTTACTCATGAATCATTGATCAACTTTGGGTTACTTCCCCTTTTTGACTATTATGCAAGTTATTTTTTAAATTATTTTAAGTATTCTTATTACCAGCAATTCAAGATTCTTGGATTCATTGCTTTCATATAAACCACATGACAATTGGGGTTGCAAATAATGATAAGTGCCATTAAAAATAAGGTTTTGCTATGTGAAAAGAATTTGAAGTATTTTCTGTATGTCTTCCCATGAGACTCTACAGTGTAGTATATTTATTTCTAATTAACTTGGCCAAGACTTTCGAGGGCCCAGGAGGTCAAAACTATTTTCATAATAGTATTAAAATGTGGATCTGCTTTTTGCACTAGGTTGATTTTTTTCCAAATTAATGAATAACTTTATTTCTTACATTTTAAGGTTGATGAAAAGCCATTAGTTAATCCTATGAAAGAAAACCCAACATTTCAAATGAAAAGAATAATTAACTCTATATTTACTCATTAAATACTATTTAAATTTTCTAAAACACAATTTGAAAACATTCAGGATGCATTTTTAATTTCAGTACAATGGATTTAAGACCAAGTACACACATTACATACATGAGGGCTCATCATCATCATCTTCGTCTTCACGTTTTCTTTTCAATACACTTGATGACTCATTAGTATTATTTTGTGATGACACCGTTAGTGGTCAGAAGAATATTTTTGGACCTAATTAATGACGGCTTCATCAGAACATTCTGAACTGCTGGTGTTGCAGGAATTGATGCTTTCATGGCAGGGGCTGCGGTATAGGCATCTGTACTGTAAATCTTTGCCCTGTGAGAGACATTGGAATCCCTACCATAGTTGAAACAGACATGGTTTGTGGGGTTGGTGTGCCCAGTGTGGGAGTACTTGATCTGCTAGTAACTGAACCAACACTTAACTGTGGAACTGTTATTCTTCCTGCAGAAGTAGATGCCTTTTTTTTTTGTAAAGACTTAAGCCTATAGTTTGGAGCTGTTAAACAATATCTATCAGGTGGCAATCTAGGATCTGAATGTGGCTTGGTCAATGACAAAGGGGTTTGATTTCTTTGCCTTGCAATGTCTACTGAAAAATATCTTGGGGGAGGGGAGGTAAAAGTTTGGTCAACATGACACTGGGTTGCCAATCACACATCATCTGCAACAGCAGCTTCCTTAGCGTGGCTTGAATAAATTTTTGCATCATCTAGAAATGTGATCACATATCAGAAGGCAAACTCCAACATCCGGTTTATAACTTGGCTCATATTCTGTAATCCCCATATAATCCTTCAGGATGTGTGCTATTATCTGTGCATCTTTCGGCATGCTCTTGGGAGAAGTCATCTTGCCAGACTCCACGATATCCGGTGATCAGATCAGACTTCTCGAGCTAAATCACCCACGTTAGTGTATTTCAGCCCTGATCTTGATGCAAGTTCTTTGCTTCACGTGGTTTTTCCAACCCATGGTGTACCGGTGAGCAAGATGTTAGGAAGCACCATAGTCTTCGTGGCAATAGTTCCCGGTGCCTCTGGTCAGGCACTGCCAGGAGTCTGATTTGTGTATTAAAGATACTAAATCTCTGATGGGTGAAACCTTAGGAGCCTTAATATGAATAAACAGAGTAGCACTATATCAGACTCTACTAACCTCCTTTGCCACCGGCACTCACAGGAAAAAAAAGGAAAAAAGTAGTTCTTTTTAAGAATGTCCTTGGTGAAGCAGTATAACTTAATATTTTTGAACTTTAATATACTCTCAAGATCAACACCTATATGAAAGAGAAGAAATCAGAATGGGATAGCTAGAAAAGGCAAAGACCAGTGCATCGGTAAGAATGACCTTCATCTATTCCATGGTACGTTCTGAATTTGGAATAAACCTTCAGAGTGGCCCTAAATTATGGGAAAAGGGATGGTCCCTCATACTAACAAATCAATCATTCATTATATTTACCCCTATAAAGAGTCATGGCCTTGGATGAGTGCCCAAGTCAAGGGCATTTCCCAGAGAGGAACAGTTAAGAGCTCTTCCCAATGAATCTATTGCTTCCTTTTTATAATTGGTGTTCCAGAGAACTCAAACCGTGACAATCTGAGTATCTGTCTATCTATTGTTCATAAAATGGGAATTTTTGTGAAAGAGAAACTTCAAAAATAATTCTAAATTGGATTGGGAAGGAATATTTCATTGCTATCACATTATTCTAGTGAAAAAATATAACTTTTTTTTTTTTGGAGAGGTTTTTGCTATAGGGTGCGTGCGCTCGCCAGACAGACAGCGAAAAACCACCTCCCAGGAGGGACGGCCATGCCACAATCCCTTCTCCTCCATTCTCTTGGGATCTTGGGCACGCACACACATGTGCCCGGAGTG